TGGTGAATATTTCTGTTTTACAAAAACAACATCAATGGCTTCAGTGTTATGTTGACACCTTGGTTCCTAATCTGAGAAGAGCTTTACACCTATTCTAGTACATGGTAGCACTGGCTTGCCAAGCTGCTACAGCCGCATGCCAAATCATCAATCCAGTTCTCATTACCTCTTTGAAATTGGAAGGAGTGGATCAGAAGGCAACCCTGGGCTGATGGTTGGTCTAATTAGACTCGAAACACATCTGCAGTTGCCTTCCTTTAAGTAACAACTTGTATTATTCCAGACACCATAACTTAATTAGGTGAGGTTTTCTCTTCAGGGGCTTTTTCCCTCAGCAATGAGAACTTCTACTTTATAGTACCAGGCACCAATGGCTACGACAGAAAGTCAACATGTGGGTCTCTTAAACAAGTTCTCATTAATTTTTTTTAACATTCGGATTCTGCGGAGAAACATAAAGAGCGATTAAATGGATAGTATTAGATGAAAAAATTTCTGGAGAGATGATCTCATGTATATAAATCATAGATTAATACGTTGCCTCCCTTGCTGTCAGTGCTATCAATCAGAATTAAGCATTCCATAGGTACCACTCCGGTTGTTTTAATTAAATGCAGTTGCTAGGTTCTCACAAGGCCAACAGTAGTGTGCATATTTGCGGCTCCCGACTAGTATGACCTAAGTGGAAAACACACCACTGACTTATCGTTTTTTTTTGTGAGAGGGAGAGGGGCAGGAAGCTGCCCTAAGTGTGACAGAAAGGGACAGAACATTGCTAATCCTCTGGGATAAACGGGTGACTAGCAGGGGCCCCGGTGAAAAAAAGGTTCACCAGAGGCCACGCTGCTTGATTTGACAAGCGATTATAGGCTCACAGCTAAAGTAATTTTACATACGTATACAAAGTTTGAGTTGGATATGAGCAAATCTTGATAAGACAGTAAAAGAGCAAAAAGCACTGTAGCACTGGAGGATAGGTACTAAAACATCAGGGCTGGCAACGGGTTGATAGGGACCAATACTGTGACAGGTTTCCCCCATATGAGAAATAAATCCTCTGAAATGGGAGCAAGTAAAACTAATTTCATTGTTAATTACCATCAAATCCAGCACTTTACTTTCAACTTCAGGTGGGTGAAAACCACCCATATTCTGCTTAAGAAATTATACAACTATTTCATGACAACTGCTTCATTATGGGACACTGTTTTAAAGTGTTCCATACCGAAGTAAGTGAAATGTAGGTATATGCTACTCTCAACCCCTTTGACAGAAACGCAGCTCTTCATTCCCGCCGCTAGAGCCGTGGGGCGAGATATGAATTTTAACAGCTTTGCAGTTACAGCCCAAAATAAATAGGACTGTCGGCTATTGATTAAAATGAGCAAATATTGTGCAAGAAATTCGTTGAGTGAAAATTCATATACTTCTAGTGAGGTGGCTCTTTGTTAATTTTATCAATAGCAGACTATCATATTTTGACTGACTGGAAGAGACGTCAAGACTGGAAAGGTGCTGAAATTCAAATCTAGCGTCACGGCTCTTGCGCCGGGAACATAAAGGCGTCTTCCATTGTAAGCGGATGCGGAATTTTTTGTACGAGGGGCGTTCAATAAGTAAGTATCCCCCCTCTCTAAAATCCATAAGAATGGACCAATTTTAAAAAACTTGGGCTCAAAATCTTCCTTAGGATATTTTGAGTTCAACAAACCAAACCGCAACAAAATCGGACTATGTGCGGCCGAACGCGAGCCGTTTGAACGCGCCGAGGAGCTCGACGCTCCCGCCGAATCTGCGAGGATTTGAAGTCCGCTACAGGAGAAGAGCTTCTCTGCCAAAGCCTCAGTCGTTCATCACTGACGAAAAATCAAAGAAATTTTTGTAGAATAAGGGGCTTACCTCACTTCTCCACATAAGCAGCTCGATCCAAGCAAGTCTGATACTGAGACTAAGACTAAGAGAACAGCTTTTGGATGCCTCGTGCGTGGAAGTCTTTCAGCTGACCGCGGATGAAAGAGTGGACGGCTTGTTTGACCTCTTCCACTGATTCAAAATTTACTCCTCCAAGTTCAGATTTCAGGAACGGGAATAAATGGTGGTCTGGTTTGCCATTTATTATCGTATCTGAAATCTGAACTCGGAGGAGTTAATTTTGAATCAGTGGAAGAGGTCAAAACAAGCCGTCCACTCTTTCATCCGCGGTCAGCTGAAAGACTTCCACGCACGAGGCATCCAAAAGCTGTTCTCTTAGTCTTAGTCTCAGTATCAGACTTGCTTGGATCGAGCTGCTTATGTGGAGAAGTGAGGTAAGCCCCTTATTCTACAAAAATTTCTTTGATTTTTCGTCAGTGATGAACGACTGAGGCTTTGGCAGAGAAGCTCTTCTCCTGTAGCGGACTTCAAATCCTCGCAGATTCGGCGGGAGCGTCGAGCTCCTCGGCGCGTTCAAACGGCTCGCGTTCGGCCGCACATAGTCCGATTTTGTTGCGGTTTGTTTTGTTGAACTCAAAATATCCTAAGGAAGATTTTGAGCCCAAGTTTTTTTAAAATTGGTCCATTCTTATGGATTTTAGAGAGGGGGGATACTTACTTATTGAACGCCCCTCGTATTATATTACTCTCACCTAGTAGCATACTCAGTTTCCAGTTTAATGAAAGGAATGGAGGTTGACAATTGGTCGGATTGGCTTGATGGATGACGTATGAAATGGGTGCACATCCAAAAACTGGAAGCAGGTCTCGTCAGCCTCAGACTCACTTCCACTAGCATCCACTTTGCTGTGCAGAGGCTCGAATTCAAATGTTCATTGTACTTGAGGGCAAAGCTGCCGAAAGCAGGAACTGTTCATACAAAAATTGCTCAAAATTGAAGTACGGTTGCTCAAGGCTGGTTTCATTACCTTAAGAGTTTATATTTAGTTATTTATATTCAATTGCTCTATTTACGGTAATGTGAAAGAACCCTATGAAATCAATCATTTAAATCAGAAATAAAATAAAAAATGGTGTGCTAAGGAAACACATTGTAAGACGGATAAAATGTAATTAAGCCGCTAAAACAATATTAGTCTTTTTACTGAACGAAGACATCAGGAACATACCCAATTATAAAGTGTTCTTTCCACAAAGTATGTCATTAAAGTTGATAGAGGTGTCACTGTTTTTTATATATTTATTGACACCCTATCCATTATTATCGTAGTTAAGATTCAGATGAGGTTCAATAGTTTTTATCACAGAATAATGAGAATCACTAAATACAAAAAGGGCACAAATCCAGAAAACCAAATTGTTCAGGAGACACAAAAAACTGTTTATTTCGTGGTAGATATTTTTTGGAAAGTCGTTATGTTTAAAAAAAAACCTGCGCGGAGCGAAGCCGAGCGCCGAAATTTTGACAGGACATCGACAGCTTAAAATTTCATCTGATCATGCCAGTTTTCAGGGTGGATTCATTTTACATTGATGAGCGACGATTCAGGGGATAAGGTTTCAAAAAGTTGGATATTCTAACCAAAGGGCCACCCTAGCGTGACACATACACAAAGCTTGAAGGACTCCCAAAGTATTTAAAAAAAAAGGGCCAGCCAACGATACAGAAACTGTAGATCGATGGTGGCTTACAAAAAAAGTACCCCTCATGAAGCGGTCGTTCAATAGGCGGGAGGAGAGTGGATTTGTCCAATTACTATTCTCGCCAAAATCGCAATAACATGGGACCTTACAGGAACTTTCACAGTAAAAGATTTAGCGCTGAAATTTTTAGAGTAGACTCACTTGAAGAATGACTAGGTTTCATACCCGGACACAGCTTTTGAAACAGTTGGATCCGAATTTTATTTACGTGTTTATGTAGAAACAGCCCCAAAAGAAACCAGGGAAACCAACAATCCTTGTCCTAACCTAATTGAAGCTTCTGATGTGTTATGAAATTCACCATGGGCATAGCATAGGATCACCTCTATCTATCAGTTTTAGATTGTTGGCATCGACCAAATTTCAATGGTATTTAATATGATGTTCATTACGACCTCTCGAGGAAGATGAGCATTTAAAATCAAGCTTTGGATGTTGCCGATCTCAAGAAAAGCAGAGCTGAAAAGTGAAATTTTCAGCCTCCTCACACGCACTATCTGATGGAGATGTGAGACTGATGCTAAAGAAATGTGGACGCTGTGCTGAATACTGTTATCATTTGAAGGAATTTGATTATTTTCGTCTGTTTTATCTCCCTGGCGGTTTGGAAACACGGTTTGGAAACAAAAGCTCTCCTTGATCATAGATAGAGTGTTACAAAGTTTCCACTACATATTTTGCATAGATACTGAAAATTGGCTTGAAATGGGCACATAGGTAGTTCACTATGAAAGCTCTTTGTGCTCAGGAGGCCTTAAGCAGGCAGGTATCCAGGGGGGGCTTGGGGGGGTCAAGCCCCCCCCNCCCCCCCTAACCAAAAAAAAGGGAGAAAAGAGGGAAGGAAAGTGGAGACAAAAGATGAAAAAGTGCGAGAAATGAAGAAGTTTGAGACCGTTGAAGTTATTCATCTCCTTTAATGTAGTCTTAAATGAAAACACCGTGTTCATTACTAAAATTTTCGTCAGCAAAGCCTCAAAATGCGTCCAAATAGAGTTGGAATTTCAAAAATTTTCCAGCTTTGTTGAATGTAACAAATCGAAAGTATTTTGTGTTAAAGTAAAAAAAAAAAAGCATAATTTTTCTGCATAAATTCATGAAAAATCTGTGTTACAGAAGCCTCAAAATGCGTCCAAAAAGAGTTAAAATTTCAAAAATGTTCAAGATTTTTTGAATGCATGTATTTTAAAAGTCTTTGTGGCTGAAAGTTCAAAAAGGAAACGTAATTTTTCTGCAGACACTGATGAAAAATCTGCGTCACGGAAGCCTCGAAATGCGTTCAAATAGTTAAAATTTCAAAAATTTTCTAGATGTATTGAATGCATATAATTCGAAAGTATTTTGTGTTAAAGTAAAAAATAGCATAATTTTTCTGCATAAATTTATGATAAATCTGTGTTACAGAAGCCTCGAAATGCGTCCAACTAGAGTTAAAATTGCACAAATTTTCATGATCTTTTTGAATGCATACATGCATTTTTTGCTGAAAGTTCAAAAAGGAAACGTAATTTTTCTGCAGACATCGATGGAAAATCTGTGTAAGGGAAGCCTCGATGTGCGTCCAAATAGAATTATGATTGTAAATATTTTCAGGATCTTTTTGAATGCATAAATACATTTTTTGCTGAAAGTTCAAAAAGGAAACATAATTTTTCTGCAGACATCGATGGACAATCTGCGTCACGGAAGCCTCAGAACGCGTCTAATTAGATTGCAAAATTTTAAAATTTTCCAGAGGAGGACCCCCCTCTGGACTGGGGAGTATTCCGTACCCCCCAGACCCCCCGGTAGTACAGGGACCCCACAAGGCCCCCTTCCCCCGAAACAAAATCCTGGATACGTGCCTGGGCTTAAGGTACACCATTTCAAATAAATTGACTGTAGCTAGCACTGAGTTTCTTGGTATTCCAAATGTAGTTCCTTTACCAAATTTTTAAACTGTTCTTGGAGTCTACAGGACAGATAATGAGACAGAGAAAAAAATTCCAATAACGTGGAAAATAAGAAACGACAGCTTGGGGACTTCCCTTGTTTGAATTTGTTAAGCTGTGCTTAAAAATTTTCTTAGGATTATACCATGTAATACAATACTATAACCATCAAGACCCAAGAATATTATAGTTCAGCTCCAAAAATACAGCTAAGGTGGTATCACTTTGTCAGTGCGGTGCCTTAAAAGAGACTTGGGATCTTGAATTGAATTTTCTTTTTGAATTTCAGGTAGGATTGATTCGAAATTTTCTGTTTTGTTGGCAGTAAGGCTTTTGCTTGGTGATTTAACACGAAGTTCTTCCTTTTCAGGTTTTGCCCCTTTTAGTTTACTGGCTGCTTGCTGCTGCTGTTGTAAAAGAATCCATGTTTCTCCCAAAGCTTTGGCAAAATGATCATCCACTAAAAAAAAGCCAAAAGATCAAGAAAGAGAATATGAGATCGGTGGAGCGAATAATGTAAAACAGGCAATAAAGGTACAAGGGAAGATAGGTATGTTTAAAAGAGAACATCTGTCAAAAAGTATTCAGGACACTTTGATCCCTAGGGCAACACCACTAGCAAGCCACGAAAAGAACCAGTGCCCATTTATTACTTTCCATGTGCAGTATGGGACCATTAGGTGGGAATATTTCCAATTTAAAGGGGACAGCAGCCCAAAGTAGACATCCAGATTAAGGCGGAAATCAATAGCCAATACGACACAGAGACATGCCTAACCAGTCCAGATTGAAAATTCTGCCTCAACGCAGAGATGTGAGCGATTGAATTTTCAGGCTGTGATGTAATCATGGTGTTTCAGCAGTCAATCTGTTTAGTCAGCGTACTTCTACGCACGAGTTTACGCGCTCCAATGGAACGATTCTATTACTATTTTCCACCCTTGATTTCCACTTCATTTCACCAAGTTTTTAAGATACTCAGTGTTGATCCATTTCGTTATTTCAGCTTTAATAAATGAGATAGGAAAATGACAGAATGGAATAAATCAGCGATAAGGGGCAGGTGAAGTTCTTTGATTTCTAGAAACCGGGGGGCTCCTCAAGACTTTCTGAGAACGATGAGCTTTGAACTGAAATATCTTGAGCACCATTTTTCCAATTAATACATGTTTAAAGCTTATCTTCTGATTCTCTCCAAAATTGCCCAGAAATAACCTGCACCAAGGACTCACTGTTGCCGTTTGAGCGGTCGCTCAAACGTTGGTTGAGCGGTGTCATGGTGTCATGTTTTTCTTCAAAAGTATGTTGCATCCTAAGTATTATTCAATGCTCATGTGAATCACTGCCATCATCTGACTGTGTAAATCCCCCCTCCCCCAGCGAAATTGAGATCATGAGAACTTGAAGGTAATTGATTAATGATGAGCTGCGCTTGGGACTAGAAATGTGAATCCAGAGCCAGAGTGATGCAGGTTTTTCCAAATAAATAGGAAATAAAAATAATAATAATAAAAACCATGGCATAACGTTTGCAGGGTTGCCATCATTTATTTTTCTTCAAATGCCCTGATTTTCCCTGACTATTTTTGCTTCTCCCTGATTCCAAAATTTTCTAATTCCTTGACTTTCTCTAACCTTTAAACAAACATTCCACCTTTTTCTTCTTCTTAAATTATGCTAATTTTCGCTAAACTTAGGACGAAAATTTTCTTGCTTCGATGTCAAATGATAAATAAAGGCATTCAGTAGCAGTTTAAAATATAACAAACTTTAAAAATGACCAGAAGGGTAAACAGTTGAAATATCAGTGATAAATTTTAGTGATCAGTAGATGTGTCAAAAATTCCATGCCTCAGGCAATTCTTGGTCTTCTTAAATCCTCCAACTTTCCCGGTTTTCCAGACTGGCGGCAACTCTAAGTTTGGTTTGTCCTTTCCACCCTTTCCAATCATTTAATGATATAAGATGGACCAATAGATGAAAGGTTAAGTTGATTTTAGCTTGTTGATGGGAATAACATAAATTTTCAATTCATGGTGGGTACTGAAGTGAATAGGGGCTAAAAATTAATTTAGATTTTCTTATAAAGAACCCCGCACAGAGCATGGGCTCAGCGGCTCTCTATGAAAGTCGATGAAACTTTGATAGATTGATATGAAGTTCATAATTAAGGGAATGCCAAAAAATTAGCTCACTTTTGCGAGTAGAAGCCGAGATACTCGCGATTGAACCCGGACTATTTTCGGTGCGGCGGAGGTACATTCTCCGTGTCGTCTTACCTTGCTTGAGCACTTCCGCCAGGAAACCCCCTCTCCCCACGGTAGGTAACTATGATGTCGCATTGTTTACACTCACTCCTTTCCTTAGGACGCTCCGTTCGGGCTGTGCGATATGGAGTTCCCTGCTTCTCGCACCTCTCCCTTGCCGGCGCAGCCGGCCGGTTTAATCTGAAATGTAGTAGCTGAGACAGAAAGGACAGATGCGGGGAGAGGGAGGGAGTACGGCATTCGCACCGGCCGAGCGCATAAGCAAGCACCTATCTACACGTGAGTGACGTGAGGTCTGATTGAGAACGCCTAACAACGAGAGGAAAGAGGACTCGGAATGCTGCGGCATGATAGAAAATAGTCCGGATTCAATTGCAAATAAATCGGCTTCTACTCGCTAAAATGAGCTAATTTTTTGGCTTTCCCTTAGTTATGAACTTTATATCAATCTATTAAAGTTTCATCGACTTCCATAGAGAGCCGCTGAGCCCATGCTCTGTGCGGGGTTCTTTGGCTATCTGACAGTGGTTTCTTTTTAACAATTGTTTTCATACTTCATTCTTTCTCAAAAGAACATAACTGATTTGAAGACTGGTAATGATCACGAGCAAAAACAGCAAACACCAAACTATCACACAAAACCTTCGCGAGAAACACCGTGGAAAGGCTGGATAGTACAGTAATGCTGTTTCAAATACTACCAGATCTCTTGACAAGTCCCACTTCTTGAATCATGAATGATTGAGTGCCTCACAGGACCCGCTACAAGATTCACAAATGCAATATGCGCAAATAAGACTTGTGCCGCTCAACTTCTGAGCCACCGTAGCATGGATTAATATTAACTAATTGAACCCACAATCCTTTTAGCTTGTTTTTACACCTGGGAGATCTGATTCAAGAAAGACGGTTTTAAAATTCTCGTTTTCTCATTTTAAACGACACCCTAGTAAACACCCATTGTGTTTCCCCCATGATATTTCTCATCCGAAAATGAAAGAAAAAATTGGTCAAAGTCCTCAAACTTGAAAAAAATGGCCGTTTTATAGTGATACTTTGGCCTACATTTTGCAGTGAAGAACTACTATTTCTCAGACATAAAATCACTTATCTGCGTAGAGAAATGGCAAAAATTTTTCTTTTAAAGTGAGCTAGCTCCCTACTGCAGATCCTGCAGTGCAGAATGCAGCCCATTTGGCGGTGGCCATCAACACAAACAAACAAGGTATACAGCAAAAAAATCACTGATAAAGGGTATAGTAAATTCTTTACTACAAAAGGGTAGAGATTTACTAACTTTTTGGAAAAGATTTCATTGTGATGGATATTCATGAAAAAGTGAAAGAAAACAAAAAAGTATGAGATTGCTATACAACAGAATGTTCCTTCAAGAAAGAAAATAGGAATAGATCAAAATGGTACTCACCAGAAAGAGATGATGCTGAGACATCATTAGAGTCATCACCTGAGGCATCACTAATCCTACTCGAAGAGTTGCTTGGGCAGTTGGTTTGTTTTTCTGGAAAAACACTGCTATAATCTTTGCCTAATGATCGACGAAAGTGTTCATCGATTACTGGGTCGCACATGCCACCAGCATCTGCAAATGAGAGTAAGTTTTTAATTGCCGATTGCTAATTGTTAGTGGTGATATTGATTGAAAACGATTCAATCATAAATCTAAAGATCATGACATACTGAAATATAATCTAAGAATTTTATTTCATCTAAATTTCTAGCCAATGTCTGGGTACTACACTCTAGTGAGCATGGCTTTTGATAGAGCTTCCTGATTTTTTCACTGTGTCCCATCTTTTTAATGACTTTTATCAAATTTATTCAATATGAAAACAGAAGTGTTGAAATATCCTTCACCCTTACTGACATTATCTGCATGCTAAATATAATCTTTTGAGAACATAAGATATTTAGGTGTATTATTAATTATTGTTAATTATTAATTGTTTATTAATTGTTAATTATCGTTTATTATTAATTGTTGTTAATTATTTGAGTTATTTATTGACACAAGTCTACAAATCAAAATGAGTGTAGTCTATCCTTTAGAAGGACAAGAGAACAGTAAGCTAGTAGATCACTTTCCTCTGACTTACCAGAGGCTGGAGAGGAGGAAGGAGATGATGCTATGATGACAGTTGGCCGATGTGCTGCAGCAATACTTTGGGAATAAGATGGGGGAGAACCCCTCATTTTTCTGCTCACAGACATGTCAAGAGGTAAAGACTCTCCATTCAAGCTGTTAGAGAAACGAAACCAATTGGGTTAGTTCAAAATTCAACGATGTTAGGTACTTATTTTTTTCCAAGGAAGAGAAAAGACCAAGTGGACAGCATTGACCGAGGACATCCTGTCTACATGGCATGCTGTATGCATTCCCTTATGCCTTGATTTTTTTACCGAAAACGTTTTATAGAGGAAGAGTTTATATCAGTGCGCTGAATTTTTCTCAACAAAATTTGTGTCCTAAGTAACTATTCTCGACTGAACTTAATACTGTTAATTTGTCAACTGAATTTTCTTATTTTTCATCTCCAATTCGACCCGCATTGAATTTGAATTTTCTCACGAAAAGAAAATTTGAATAGACTGACTATAAAGTAACCTTCGAACGCTAATACCGGTCTCATCAGCTGATTTTAGAAGATTTTACACGTCTTAAATGTGTCTCACACAAAATTTTAACTAAAATAAATGTACCTAATTGTAGGATTATATTTCTCACCCTATCTACTGGTCTGTTTGAATACAACTCTATTTAAGCTTTTCTCAATTTTCTCTTCTTTGGTGTAGAAAAAGGGTACAGTGTATCCACTGCTAAAGGATATATTTGCAAAGCATGGAATGGTTAAAGATCTGTAAAAAAAATATTCATTCTAGGGAGGGCTACTTGAAACTTGAAACTTGAAATTAGGGTAAAAGGATTTTTTAAAAAAAAAAAAAAAAATAGAGTTTGCGCCCTTCCGTTTTAGAAAATCTATTTAATGCATTGAAGCGTTTTCCATCAATTTTACAATTGATAGAGGAGTCATTGATATCAAAAATACCGAAAATTGTAGTAGGACCCACGTCGGATGATCCCTGAGCCGCAGGTATTTCATGTATAGCCAATGACCAGAAGTGGAGCTATAAAGGGGCAAGCCGGCCGGCTTCATGATGTCCGCGTGCTGGATGAGAGGTGTGATCCGTGTGACTAACGCAGAGAGTATAGAAGGTTAGAGGCCTGACTGGATCATAGAGAAAAAGAAGGAGGTGTTTGCATTTCGGGCATCTTGGATGACGTAGGACGGTACAACGAGTTTATCATCGATTTTCTTGGAAATTGAGTAATTTATGGAAAAAAGTCATTCTACAAAAAGTGCTTGAAATTATATCATGAGTTGATTTAAGCAAAAAAATCGGACATTATGGTCAGTTTTTCATACTTCGAATTCCGGATTTCACTGGCCAGGTTGTACCGACCTACGTCATAGGGTAAACAAACCTTAAGATGCAAACACCTCCTTTTTTTCCTCTATGCGACTGGATAGAGAAGAATTGAAACAGAAGTTGAGCCGTGAGCAAGAAGTTGCATGCGTTGGCGCGAGAGTGCGCGGCGAGCGGGATTCCCGCACTACAGCGCTGATTGGCCAAGCGAGAGTCGCGGAAGGGCGATGTATGAAAAATTGCCTACGTGAGGGTGGTCCGGCAGCAACATACCCGCCGCCAGTCACTGGATAACAATAGAAAATGGTAGTTGCGTACGTTGCCAGCGAGCGCACTGCGAGCGTTTCTGTTTCAATTTCTTAGCATTGAGTTGGGCCTCTAACCTTCTATACTTTCTAGAATGACGGGAGCAGAGTGACTTGAAGTGGTGAGCTTGCAACTTGTATAGCCCTGGTTGAGACTGCATCGGCCAATCAGGAGCGAGCGCGGGATGCACTGCCAGAGGTGAGCGGTGATTGGCCGCCACAGTGCTTCCCTGCCGTTGAGACGGAGTCTCTGTGGGTGGTTGGAGCAGTGAATGATGAAATTGGATGTTGGAGTGGTGAAAAAATTGGGAAAGGTGTGTAAGGTGGATGGAAAGTTGAAGAATGGCTGAGTGATGAGAAGGATAGAAGGTGAGTGTCAACGTGCCAGGGAGAGCCATTCGGATCGGGTGACATGCGCTCGAAGTGGTGTGAGTTTCATCTTTCCGCGCAAAGAGGTTGATGCTCGGGACAACCTCGCTGTGTTGCTGTGCTGTGTTCTGCTGCAACTTGCTGGAGCGTGTTGATTTGCGCGCCAGAGGGAGATGAAACGATGCGGTGATGCTGGATCTGTTCAATGCTCATGCTAGAATGATCAACATGACTGTTCCAGTGAAAGATTTGGGTGCTTAAGTACAGATGACTTGAGAGAAGGTTGAGCGTGTCCTTGAGGTGAGATGGCTTGAATGAAGTGAATCAGAAAGATGTTCGTATTCACGTCGGGAGTCATCAATACGACCAATGGCCAGAAGTAGTGCTCTGGGAAGTGGTGGCTCTAAGAAGGGCCGATGAAAGGGGCAAGCCGGCCGGCTATTCTGTTCGCCAAAAAAACTAGAGTCCCTTTATACCCAGAGTTAAGACAACTCACTTTTGGTTGGGCCAGGGTTAGGCTGAAAGTGGCCTAAAAAAAAAATCCAATTCTGATTGGTTCTCGCTCATGGAGGCCGAAACGAGTGCACCAAGATGGCGGTACCTTGAATGTGAACAAGAATAATGAAAATATTACCTAATTGTGGTTTATCAAGAGTAAATTGTTATTGCCATCGGTCCAAAATGAAAATAGATTAAGAAATTATTCATAAACCAATCTCATTTTCTTTTTAATTGATCAATTTGTTGATGTTTTTGTTTTTGTAAGACAGACATCGCAGGATTCCTGATCCTTATCCCTCAATATCGTTCGTTTGGGTGCACTCATTTCGGCCTCCATGGCCAGCCAAGGCCGGCTGCCAGTCAGCTGCTAATCGAGTTGTCTTAACTCTGGGTATAAAGGGACTCTAAAAAAAACAGGCAGTTTTCCATTTGAGTTAGGTAATCCAAACTAGTACTAAGTTGCATCTGACTATAAAAATATTTTGTTCTGTTTTTTGTTCAATGCTTTCAATTCAATATTTTTGATAGTAATTAATCAGTAAGGATGCTGCTGCTAAATTGAGGTTGTTGGTGGATTTAATCGTGCAACTTTTCATTTGGAGCAGATAAGTGTCGAGGTTTGTGTTGAATTGGTGGAGAAGCACACCATGTACCTATAAGCACGCTCTATATTCTTCTTTAGCAGGCATCCGCAAACTCATGTAAAAATCTGTACGCTGTTTCTGCATAAATTTTTAGATGGTGGGGAGTTCTCAAATCATTGATTGAAGTTAAGTCACCATTTTGCTACCGATTAGGACAACGATCAAACATACTTAAGGATATAATAAAATAAATATTCACCTTTTTGAGAGTATAATGCACAATATATTTTCAAACAATTAGGCACACATGAACAGGTTGCTATTGTTGCATTAATTGTCAACACAGCCAAAATTTTTAGGTTTGAAAGTTAAGAACTTTTAAAGCTATTTAACCGTGTATCATGCATGTTTTATGCCCTACTAGTGACAAGGAAAAGCTGATTTTTTTCAATTATACTCATATTAATTTTTAGGTTCAAGTATCAATATCTGCATTAGTAAAGCAAAAATGATAATTTTTATTTCTGTATATTTCTTCCCTCATTCCTAAATATGGCTATAAACAGAAAAAAAAAGTTACGGGTGGGTCATGTTACAAGAGGGATATGGAGGATATACTGTGGACAGATCGAATCTTCATTGAGTACTGAACGCCTTGATTGGCAAGAGACAAACATATTTTCTACCAATGATGGAGAGGATTTACCTAAGTACTTAGTGCCGAACCCATACATAGTTACTTTTTGCCATGACCACCAAATTCAGGCTCAAATTTGCCGAAATAGTTCTTTTTAAGCCTGGTTTTGGGAGTTACGGCAGAAAATGACTATCAGAGGGTGCGCACTGAATACTCAAGCAGACACTCTCCATGAACGGTGGAGAACTTTTCCTTTTAAACTAAAGGGTGAATTAATGAAGAACTGATTCACCGGTCCTGCCATATGTACAGGAAAAAAATGAACCTGCTTATTGAGGCACATTTTGTTAGGAACAAAATCGATGCCTAAACACCTTTCTCTATTTTGCTGTATCTTCAAGATATTCTGTAAAAGCCTTAACCCCTTCTCCCCCCCCCCTCCCGAATTGGCGGATTACCTCCAAGTATCGGTGACTTTTAAGAGATTAAACTGAATCCTAAAAAATAAAAATTGGGCTAGCCAGCAATTTTCTTTGAAATTTCCTATTGTACCTGGACTATTACTAGTTTTCAAATCAAGTTCAGAATGAATCTCTTTTTGATAGTTCAGTTTTCTTTAAACTCAGAACCACAAACAAAGTACGAAAGTTTTTGGTGGTGCTTTCCTAGTAGCTCCAATTTTTACAACAGCAAAATGTGTTGCGCGTGGAACCTTAGGACAAAACCACTGCTAAATCAAATTGGACTAGTTAATTGTACATGTTACATGGATAGCTATTTTTTTAAATCTAATTTCTTGTCAAAAATGTCTGTGGTTTGAAGATCATCATTTACTTAAAGTGTTTCAAGGTTATCGCTCCGGGAATATACATTCTACATGTTCCGGGAAAGAAAGACTGGAAGTTTTGGGTGCATGAGTATTTGCAGAGGAGGAACTTTGGACTTCAGAGGAACTGAGTGTACTTTTCTGCTTTTCCTTTGTAATAATTAGAAGCTCTTGGTGTATTCGTCTGACGCCAAACGTAGCTGGTATTTTGATGATCGTCAATTATTGCGGTAATCGTCACTTCTTCCAATTATCATCGATTATCAATAAAGCGTCCCAAACGAAACCGATATCGTTCGAAACTGATATGATAGTCTTAATGTTGAGGTTCAATTCACAGGTCTATAGTTTCAAGCAGCAGGACCTTCCCCCTCTCCTGTCTTGTAAGCGTACACGAGCAAGAAAGGAGGTGACGACGAAATGGACGGAAATGGAAAGAAATGAACTTACTTAGCTTTATGGATGTGCGTCGGGTAATCGGGAGGAGGTGCCAGCTTGTGTCGTCTCTCTCGCCTCCATTTCCCACCAGTAGGTGCGGGTGCATTTACTGACGATTCTTTGCATTTTAATGACAATGACCTCGCTTCCTCTGGAACATACAAATAAAAAACCATGATTGGTGCTTTCAGTTTACTCCGGTTATTATGGCAAGAGATCCAGAGAGCGCTGTGGAAGCATACATATACAGGGTTATCCAAAAGTCACTGACCACCCCTGTAACTTTTTTCCAAATTGAGATAGAAGTTTGAAACATTGGGAATGTTCCTCGGTCCAAGATAGCAACTTTTTGGTCTCCCCAAAATTTTCTGGGGCGGCCCCCCTTAAGGGGGGCGGGGGCTAACTTTTTTTTTCAAATAGCAACCCCCCCTTTGTGATACTTCATTCGAAAGATATAAAAAGAAAATTTTTGGCGCAAACCGCAGGTCAAAATGTTCATTTTTGACAAAATGGCGGCCGGTCGAAGTTCAAAATGGCGGAAATTTGGCATCTTCGTTGTTTATTGACGGATTGGTGTGAAACTCGGAATCCTAGGGTTTTTTCAGATGAGAAAAACGATTCTGGCTTTGGTTTTCCAGAGTAGTCAGTCCTTTTCAAAATGGTGGCGATCAAAACGGCGGCCTAGAGCGGGAAGTGGATATTTAGGCTGCATATCGTTGGATTTGCAGGAAACTTGGTTTCTGGGGGTGTTTCGGCACGAGAAGAACGACTCTTTCATTGGATATCTGAAATTTTGACAAATTCCAAAATGGCGGCGGAAAAATGGCGGGAAATCAGTTTTACGGCTCTTTACGGATGGATTAGCATGAAATTATTTGATATTTCAAGAATCTAATGAAAAATTCCTTTTAATCCAGCCAAAAACCGCCAGGATATCGAATTTCATGCAAATCCATCGGTAAACAGCCGTAAAACAGATTTCCCGCAATTTTTCCGCCGCCATTTTGGAATTTGTCAAAATTTCAGATATCCAATGAAAGAGTCGTTCTTCTCGTGCCGAAACACCCCCAGAAACCAAATTTCCTGCAAATCCAACGATATGCAGCCTAAATATCCACTTCCCGCTTGAGGCCGCCATTTTGACCGCCGCCATTTTGAAAAGGACTGACTTTTCTGGAAAACCAATGTCAAAATCGTTTTTCTCATCTGAAAAAACCCCAGGATTCCGAGTTTCACACCAATCCGTCAATAAACAACGAAGATGCCAAATTTCCGCCATTTTGAACTTCGACCGGCCGCCATTATGTCAAAAATGAACATTTTGACCTGCGGTTTGCGCCAAAAATTTTCTTTTTTATTATCTTTCGAATGAGGTATCACAAAGGGGGGGTTGCCATTTGAAAAAAAAAGTTAGCCCCCGCCCCCCTTAAGGGGAGCCGCCCCAGAAAATTTTGGGGGGGGGCCAAAAAGTTGCTATCTTAGACCGAGGAACATTCCCAAAGTTTCAAACTTATATCTCAATGTGGAAAAAAGTTACGGGGGTAGTCAGTGACTTTTGGATAACCCTGTATATAGATCGTCCAAAAAGTACCCGGACTGGTTTGTAATTCAAGAACTAAGAGAGCTAGAGACTTGATCTTGGTCTCATTCGAAAGATCAGTTCAAAGGAGATCGACTTGGCCTTAGATCAACTTACTTGGTCAAAAATTGACAAAGTAATGGTAACTTGAGTGAAAAAAAAGTTGGGACCTCCTACCGTTCTTAATGGGAACACTCTCCCGTCGTACGTAGTTTCTAATATTGATGGCATTGGCACAGTTTAAGAGGAAACATGATGAGAAACTCAAAGTTACCTGGCAGTGCTGACCAGATAGAAAATCGAAACGATAGAACGCAGCGGGACGTATTGGAACACGTCAGATTATGTCAAACACAATCGTCGGCCGACCACCCCGTTCGACTCTCCACGGCAATAATTGATGAAAGCTCGCATTCCAAGCACGGTTTACGCAGCAGTTTCAGAGTGATTTTGGTTACATTTTCGCAGATACTTTAAGATGAAGCTCCACAACTCAGAAAGAAACTCAGTATAGAATGAAGAACAACATTGTGTTCGATAAAATTGGGTTGCTGAAGAAAACGTTACGAGGCCAAAAATTTGAGTCAATCTTATATATATATGCCGTAGATACAATGGCCGAAACGTTTGCTTGTAAATGACACCTTATGCTTGATACTTAACAATCCTGTGTTGTCCTGATGTTAAGTAGAAAATAAAAAAAAAGTTTTTGGCTACTTAAGCTCAATGTTAATTCTAACCTCTATATATATTGGTATATATATACTAGCCGTTCTGGACGCGCTTTGCGCGTCCAGAACGGCCAGTCAAGGGGCTGCCCCCCTGGACCCCCGATCACTCGCTACGCGAGTGACATTCGGCTCGCTCCGCGAGCTATTTTTCTCAGTGATTGAACATTTGATCACTAAGATGGATACATTTTGGAAACTCTGGAGGCAAAAATGATTTCGTCACAGAACCTTGTTGCCGGAGCGTGCCATCATTTGCACATGAATAGATGTGTGGGGATGAAGCGATGATGGGGATCGATCATTTCTCCAAAAACGCATTTGACTGGGACGTCATCCCATCGGGTGGCGGAAAAAGACAATCCATGAATCTCCTTCCGCGATTTGACTTGCTGAAGTAGCAAAAGTTCATCTTTACCTCTTAAGAAGATTATCGGTGGCGTAGGGGTCTAAAAACTGCTCAACGATAGTGTAGTTCGGGTTCCGAATCGCAGTGAGCCCACTCGTGTTGTTTTCTTATACTTTCATCGCATATAAATTTCTCTGATGTTTTTGTTTTATTCTCTCTGATTGCATATTAGTAATCATATCCTCATTTCATTTCATTTCCTTTCCTTTTTCCCTTTCTGTAGCATCTGTGTCCATTTGCAATTATTATTTTAAAATAGCTTTCCCCTAGTATACAATTGATGCTTCAAACGGAATCAATTGTTTTAATGACATTTCCGGCTAAATCATGGATTTTCCCGGGAAGGCAGCCTCTCGTCCCTCACGGACTCTATTGTTGCAAGATAAGTTGCTTTTTTAGCACTTTTCCCAATTCCAATCCATGTAAAATATTCACATTTATCGCACGATCTGGCAACCTCTCGAGTGAAATAGAAAAAGATGGAATCGCTGAAAGTCTGAATCCTTCGAAGTTTATATTAATGATATTGGTATATATACCATATATTCTCAGGATTCCATTTCATTCTACCTTTTTCTCGAGGCAGGACAGTAGGGGAAGTGATTGATCGAAGCAGCAGACATTTCTTCCCCGCGCTGCATCCTTCCCCTAACATCCGACCACCCGACCGTTTTCCCACTCCTGTTCTCTGATCAGACCTGCCAACAGAACCATATGGACGTTGCTTTCCTTTTAGGACCAGAGCGTCGCGCTATTTCCAAATTCCAAAAATAGGTCCAGCATTAAGTGCTTCAATTGTGCTTAATTATTCTTCAAGTTTCAACTCATACCAAGGAAGGGTTCAAAAACTACAACCTAAAAACGAAATGGTAAGCCAACTTCACGCCCAAAAGCCGTTTTTTTTACTTTTGCGGGGAACTATAGATGCTAACAATTGTGCTTTGCCGCCAGCATTTACTGTTCCAATACTTCTTTTGATACCCGAAGAGATTTTTGAAATCTGGGCAACCATTCTCCCATCGAAGTCATGAAACCAGTAATAGTAAGCCGACTATACGCCCAAAAACCGGTTTTCTTTCTTTGGCGGGAAACTATTGATGCTGATAATTGTGCTTTGCAACTACCATTTAGTGCTTCGATAGTTCTTTCAATACCTGAAAAGATTTTTGAAATCCGTTGATCCGTTCTCTTCCCAGGGCCGAAAACCTTTCTTGGGACTACGACTTAAACCGCGTAAAGACAACTTTCTTAAAAATTGACGGAAACAATTGTGCTTTGCGGCCAGAATTTAGTGCTTCGATAGTTCTTTCAATATCTGAAAAGTGCATATAGAAATTGGAGCTTCGTAGGCACCTAGAATAAAATTTCCCTTCGAAAAAAAGAAAGTCGAATTTGTTAAGGACAATTATATCTATCTTCATGTAATTAATAGGTGAAATCTGGGAAGCAAACCCAATTCATGCGCGGCCGGATTTCGAATCTTCCGTTGTCCCAGATAGCCGCTGCTAAAGATCCGGAATTTTCGCGCGGGATCTTCAAACCGGGGCCGGATTGGCGCGATCGGGTGCCGGTATTTTGGCTCTGGCGAAGGAACGGATTTCAAAAATTCCTTCAAGGAACAGAAGGAACAATTGAAGCACTAAATGATAGACAGAAAGTACGATTGTTTCCGTCAATTTTTAAGAAAGTTGTTCCCAAGCGGTTTGAGTGGTACCTCAAAAAAAGGTTTTTCGGCTCCAGCAAGAGAACGGATCAACGGATTTCAAAAATCTTTTCAGATATTGAAAGAACTATTGAAGCACTAAATGCTGGCCGCAATCACAATTGTTAGCATCAATAGTTCCCTGCAAAAGTAAAAAAACGGTTTTTGGGCGTGAAGTTGGCTTACCATTTCGTTTTAGGCTGTAGGTTTTGAATCCTTTGGCGGTATGAGTTGAAACTTGAAGAACAATTAAGCACAATTAAAGCACTAAATGCTGGACCTATTTTTGGAATTTGTGCTTTATGTTGGCTAGCCAACTTCCGGTAGCTACCGGATGCCACATTTTTGAAGGCGGCAAATTTCGGACTTTCTTCTTCTTTTTTTTCTCTGAAAAAGGGAGGTACGGAGGAAAGCATCACGGAAAATAAGAGGCAGGGGTTGTGGGGTATGATGATTATGGGCAATTCCAATTATTTTGGCAACACCCCAATTGATTCTGTGAGAAAAAAATGAGGGAAAAACTATTGGAAGGATTTGAAGAAGATCGAAGTTGGATCAACCTGCGCAGCATGCAGCAGTGTAGCACTGGCTTCCACTTCGAATCTATTCTACCTCCGGGTGAATCCCTCAATGAGGTAGTTGCATGCAGCTGGGATTTTAAGTTCTAATCATCATTAATGTAAACTTCAAAGGATTCAAAATTTCAGTCAATTCCACCTTTTTCTATTTCACT